GCAGTTTGGGCACTCAGTCTCTAAAAGGTTCGCCATCACTGACCTAGATGATACTTTTAATTTCATTCTCCTTAAGAAATTTGCTTTTCACAAAGAATATGCCGACTGTATTGGGGGAAAAAGTTTTTGATCAGTTATCTGGTAAAAAGAGCCTGCAATTCTAATACTTTCTTAGATCTAGTTACAGTTCTAACTTATCCAATCTTAGTATCTGGAATGTAGCAGTATAAAAAGCAGTCCAATTGAAATGCTTTAAGCAAAATGAAGAGGGAGAGGGAGAGAAGGAAGGAAGGAAGGAAATGTATATATATATGATTTGCATCTAGGGAGAGTGATTAAAAATGCACCAAAAACAGGGAGATGGAATGAGAGGAGCCATAGCCTGAAGGAGGCAGGTGCTTTAGAGTCACAATATGTTAGTTGGTTTATTCTTAGCATGGAATGTGCAAAATATCTGCTAGGATAGAAGCAGCTACTGAACAAGGCAACAAAAATGAACGAAACCCAATTACTTCTGCTTCAGAATACATACTTATAAAGACAAGGTATTATCAGAACACTATTCTGGCGCTGTTCCAGCTCCATTATCTAGTGGCAAATAGTGTTCTGCACTCATTTTGGGTTTACATATGGAAAATATTTCAAGTGCAAGTAGCTTTTTCTCTGTGAAGAAGTATCATGGCATCACTAGAGATAAGTTAAAAAACATAAAATAAGAGCAATGCAGTAAGACTGCAACAATCTTCAGAATGAAGTTTTCACAGCTATCAAGTAACCATACTGATATTTCTTCAGCTATGATTAATTTCTCAGGAGGCCTATATTTCTGAAAAGTTTAACAGTGCTCCAACAATAATCATGATGCATGCCAAAGCCATAGTTCCCTTTAGAAAAAGGTCGGGATGACTGACAGTCACAACAGTAATTATTTTCATTACAAAATGAAATGTATCTAACAATAAGAAGCCAAGTGATATCATCAACATGCAGGCTTTTTGGATACTTGAAATGCGGGAAGAGATGGTGGGAACTAGGTAGTTACATAAGGATGTACTAGAAAATCAAGATCAGTAGACAGACCATCAAAGATTATGGTCCTGGTCATCTGACAAGCTCATATTTTGCTTCCTGCTCCTGATTTTTTCCCCTCTTTTTAATATGGTGTAACAATCAATACACAATAAATGAAATGTGTGTTCCTCAATTACCATTTCCAGTACTTTCAGCAATGAATCTCATAGATAACTGTAATCCAGACTTCCCTAATTTGGATTCTTCAGATGTATTGAGAATTCAAATTCCAGAAAGTATTTAGCCATCTGGGAGTTATCTATAATACATTTCATCTTTCTACCTTTCCTTTTTTTCCCTTTTCTTTATTTTACAAGAGAGAGTAACAACGTATCTGGAAGACTGCTCTCCCATGTGCATTACAGGCCAAACCTAATGTATGTTTGTTCAGTTCAATAAATAATAAAGAAATTCAGAACAGTGCTTCCTCCTATCTTTAAAATTGGGCTAACACATTTGCCATGGCACATAGTTACTGCCCATCAGGTTTCAAGTTGCGCAGCATTGTTTCCTCAAGATTATCTCTGTTGTTTTGATGTTTCAGCTCTACAGCAAACAATGTATTACGTTTGTACCCTAACAAATGTATAAATCAAATATACTAAATCAAACACATTCTTTTCTGTTTGCATTTTGAGCACTTTCAAGGAAGAGACATTTATAAATGTTTTTATCTGGCTTTGTGATCATATCGAACATCCTGTGATCATATCTTTATGTCAAATATCAAACATGAATCAGTCAGAAATTCAATGCATTTGCTTGTAACCTCATATTTTTTAATATTTGGGAGATTCTACAGCCCTTCACATATTACTTTACTGCAGTAATTTCTACAATTTTTACAGCAGAATGGCTTTTCTTTCATAAAATCATGATTCTTTGATGAGTAGAAGTAATCCTTTCCGGGGGTAACATGCATGGCCACTTCTTGGAAGAAGGTAGACCCAGGGCCAATAGTTTTACCTATTTCAGTCATCCTACTTCCTACTGATTAAGCCCTCAAAGGGCCAAGGATGCATAGCAATGAACAGCAGCCTATTTATTCTTGCACAGATTATACCATAAATTATTTGCCATGCTTACTTACAATAGCTGAAAAACTCTTTTTTATTTCAGTTTTAGACAGATAGATAATTCCAGACAACACACACTCACACACACTATGTCAACGCTTGTAACATCGGATGTTTTTGCATTGACAACAAATGGAAATGTAGCCATCTTTTACCTTTTGCTTTTAGAGTTAGATAAGGCTGGGAGGGAGAATGTGAGTGAGAATCCAGCTAGACATAACAACACTGGACCCAGCGTGAGAAACAAGGTTTTTGTAATCAGAGCTGATAAGAAATTGGCAGGCTGGAGAACGGGAGAGGAAGCCTGCTCTTCAAGCTAATTGGGGAATGTGATTTATGACTGTTAATTGGAGGAGGGAATTGTGCTTTGATACTATGTGCTCAGGGGAGGGGAATTTAGTTTTTGGCTTCGTTTATGCCAGTGCTGATGCTATGCTACTCAAAATAAAGATTCTTTAAGGTAAACAATGCCTCGAAGTTCTTTGAAGAGATTCATCTCTTGAAACCATGACACAGTATTTACAATGCAGTATAAATATGAAATTACATTTTAAAAAAAGAAAAACTGAAAGAAAAAGAAATTGGAAAATTATATAAACAAAGTAATCCCCCAAACTTTAACCAGATTCTCTAAAGTCTTCTTCCCTGTCACATTCAAGTAAACCAAGTGTGTCAAACTGCCGGCCCACGGGCTGGATGCGTCATGCCGAAACTGCGCCCACCCCACTGCTGGCAATGGAAAAAAAGTCACGATACATCGCGACACGTCATGCGATGTTGTGAGTTTGACACTCCTGAAATAAACAGACAAAATAAACAAAAACTATCAAATGCTGATAAATAATAAACCACACATCAATAATTCTATATAAATTTATCAAGTATCTAAAGAAAACAAGGCACTGCATACTGTAATAATGATTTGGGGCAGCCCCTCTCCTCCCCCTCAGTCTGCAAGTCTCAATGTGTTAATAAATTATTGAGGTTTTCACTGCCTGGGCCAGGTGAAGCAAGTTGGTTGTTTTCAAATACTGTTAGGTCACAGTGCATATTTTCATAACTGGAAGAGATGTCATGGGACTGTGTGATATTTGTGGAAAGAAAGAGTTGATCTTGTCCTTTAGGACTGTTTGTGTTATGATAATGCCAGATGCCTACTGTTGTAGGCGTTCTCTGAGTTGGATGTTCAAGTTTTTTTTATTTAAGAATAACTAGAAACATGCTCTTGTGGTTATTTTTAGAGGACCTTTCTCTACATGGTACTGAATAATAAGATATGTGGAATCACTTGGGCCAGGAGGGGGCATCCTGATGCCATCTCACCATTGTTGCCAAGGCTGGGAGACTGTGTGACAGCTCCTGATTGCCCAATCTTAGTCCTCATTTACAGCCATTTAAATTCTGACAAACAAAATAACAGAGTTGGGAGGGACCTTGGAGGTCTTCTAGCTAACCCCCTACTCAAGTAGGAAACCCTTTTTCCATTTCAGACAAATGGTTGTCCAATCTCTTCTTAAAAACCTCCAGTATTGGAGTACCCACAACTTCTGAAGGCAAGTTGTTCCATTCTGGTTTGTTTGGTTAGGAATCATAAATATTTGCTTTAATGCTGCAAGATGCATGGAAAAAGGTGATTTCTAGACATAGCTTGGATTCTTTTGCCTATGAAAAAAAAATACATTATAGGACAATTCCTCTGTAAAAAATAGCTGGCAAATTGATTCTTTGGGTACATCGGGCTTTCGCATTACTACTTTGGACTGTTTTAATTCTGACATAATGTCTTCCAAATTTTTGCATTGATTCTATAAAACCTTACAGTCCTTCTTTATGGGGCACCTCAGGGCTCAGTACTCTCTCCCTCCTGTTTAACATCTACATGAAAGTGATGGGTGAGGTCATCCCATGTTTGAGTTTATATCTTTATATATCTTTATATTTCCATCCCAGGTGACCTGAGTGATGCTGTGGAGGTTTGTATCAGTGCCTGGAAGTTATGAAGGCCTGGATGGGGCACAACAGGCTTCAGCTCAAATTAAGCAAGACTGGGTGGATCTGGGATTTTGGTTCCAGGTACTTTCTATCTTTGGTTCTAAATTGGGTGGCACTGCCCCAGAGAGGCCCAGTGTGCTGTGATTAGGAGGGCTTTTGCACAGCTTCAGAGTCTGTGTCAATTGCACCTATTCCACAGGACCCTACTCATGGTCTTTTATGCCCTCTGGGTTGGACTACTTCGGTGTGTTAACATGGGTCTGTCCTTGAATATTATTCGGAAGCTTCAACTGATGTAAAATGAAAATGCAAAATGAAAAGAAGGACTAGAGGTGACATGATAGCAATGTTCCAATATATAACAACAAAACAACAATAATAATAATGTTGGAAGGGACCTTGGAGATCATCTAAGGGGCTGCCACAAAGAAGAGGTGGGTCAACCTATTTTCCAAAGCACCAGAAGACAAAATAAGAAGCAATGGATGGAAACTAATTCAGGAGAGAACCAACCTAGAAGTAAGGAGAAATTTCCTGACAGTTAGAACAATTAATCATTGGAACGACTTGCCTCCAGAAGTTGTGGGTGCTCCAACACTGGAAGCTTTTAAGAAGAGATTGTCTGAAATGGTATAGATTTCCTGCTTGAGTAGGGGTTGGATTAGAAGACTTCCAAGGTCTCTTCCAACTCTGTTACTCTGTTAAAATGTGGCAGTGCAGGCAGATACTGGTACCAGAATATTTGACCCCACTGCTTTGTGGGCTGCATTGGCTTCCAGGTGTAATTCACCTTTAAAGTGCTCATGGCTTAGAACTGGGTTGTTTACAAAAACTATAGTATCACTCAGGACATTTTTCTACCTGTCCTATTTGATCTGGTATGCAATGGGTATTGTCAGCTAGGTAGTGTTGGCTGGCATTGCCCAAGAGGAGAGCCTCTTCTGTCATGGTACCTGCTTTTTGGAACATCATTTCTCCTGAAATTTGATTGCCCTAATGTCTATTGGTCTTTTGTAAATCCTTGAAAACTTGGCTTTCTGCTTGAGTCTGGGGCCCTAGTTAGAGCCCATCTCTTGATTGTATGGATGCTAGGTTAGATAATGCTCACCTGCTATGTGTTTTTTTGCTTCCTAGTATGTATTTTGTATTTTTATTTGTTTATTGTAAGTTGCCTAGAGTCATGGTAAAAGTGAGATGGGCAGCTATAAGACACGTCTTACTATTTCCCCAACTTGGATTGAAATTCATAGAATTGGTAACATAGTTTTAAATGAATTGTTGCTACTTAACAATGCATACCCTCTGCTTAGCTCCGTCCCCAAAATTGAAATCTATCAATAAATATACATTTTTCATGAATTAGGAATAGCCAAAAATTTTACTCTACAAAGTTGAAAATTAAATATCTATCAAGTTGTAGAAAGGGATTTCTGATATGAGTGATCTAACAATGTTTGAATTAGGATTTGGGGTTTTATAATAAGGGAAGAAAATAGCCAACTTTGCTTTCTTTGAGATATACTTATCTCAAGAAATCACGTTACCCACTACTTTTCTACCAGCATTCATTCATTCCCATTCTTTAGAAAAACATTCTGCCATTGTAGACAAATTAATTTACATCGTCTGATTTGGGGGCATTTTTGTGTAACCTATAGTTCTCCACATCATTTTCATTGTCAAGCACAACCACTGTAATCTTCAATATGTTAATTTTCAGATCCATATTTTGTTGCATAATGCATCAAAACATCTACGACAGATCATTTAGATTCTCTGTACTGGTCTTTGACTGTAATGAACTGAAACATTTATCTTCTCAACCAAAAATAGCATATTATCTAGAAATGTAATGACATGCACATTTATGTTCCTGACCAACTTATTTCTAGTGTTACCACAAGCCTTCCTTATACTTTTTCCCATGAATATTTGAAAGTTAATTCATATGTTCATTTTTAACTTTAGAAGTTAGCTTAAATAAGGGGCATGGAGCTCAGTGACCCTGGAATGGCTATAGAAACCAGAACAGCTGCCCTTCCTTCACAATGTGAATGGAATGCTGTGAAAGGATGCACATACATTAAACATCACTGTTTATTGAACATGTTGATCATATCTAACAGGATAGAATCCTAATAGTGTAAAAAGTTACAGGCAGGTTAATTCCGGTAGTTTATCAAAAGCATTCCAGCTGTAAAGGTTATATTGTGATAAAATATAATATATAATAATAATATAATATATATAATATTATAATATATATAATCTGTAGCTTTGCTTTACTCAGAGCTTTGCATAAAATCAATATATACTGTAAGTTTTTTTCTTACAATCTTACATTCTTCACATTTCTGACATGCTATGTCCTGCTGAAGATTAAAAAAAAATCCCCTGCATGTTACCAAGTTGCATTGTACTTTCCAAATTTTGCTTATTGTCTTGTAATTTTTCAATCAGAATTCTGCCTAACCCTTTCTAGGCCTACTTATTTATGAATCATATTTATATAGCTGCCCATCTCCTTACAACCTAGGTGGTTCACAAAGAATTAAAAGAATATTAAAAACAACAAACCCATACAAGTAAACAGAATAAAATCATAAAACAAAATCCACAGCTGAGGTAATTGTCTCCATTTTTCACAACAAATATAGTCACTGCCCATTGGTACAACCATGTTTTTAAGGTTTGGAGAAAGACCAGCAAGGTCAGGGCCAATCTGATATCTGGGGGAATGCTGTACCACAGGGTAGGCACCATGTCAGAAAAGGCCCTCTTTCTGAGTCTCACCAGATACAGTAACAGATGGGATCCCAGAGTACGTCCCTCCTACCTGAGCTGATGGGATGGACAGGTGTGATTGGAAAGAGGCAGTCCCTCAAATAATTCATTCCCACACCATAAAGGACTTTATAGGTCATCACCACTACCATGAATTACACTGGGAAGCAGACTGATCATCCATCCATCCCACAGTACAGGGAAATAAGTGCACTAATCAAGAGCCACACTTAACTGCCAACACAACTGCATACTGCACCAGCTGAAGCTTCTGAATATTCTTCAAGGCTAGTCCCATGTAAACCACACTGCAGTAATCCATACGAGAGCCATGAGGAACTGTCAGCAAGGCCTTCTAATCTTAATTTAATGGAACTCACAGAGAATTCATATGCATTGGAAAAACGTTCCAACCTGATTTATATTTTTGTGTCGTGATGTCATTATTCAAATAATGCTTATTATTATACTTTATTGTTTAACCAATATTTAAAAGTAAAGACACCTCTGTTCTTAATTACATCATTGGTTGAAATAGGCTTTCAGATAATGTTTTTAGTAAGATAGGAGTAAATGGGTTACTTTAATTATACCTGCACCACATGCTGCAATTCCTGTTAATACCGTGTTTTCCCGAAAATAAGACCGAGTCTTATTTTTTTTTGCCTCCAAAAGAGGCACACCAGGTCTTATTTTGGGGGGGATGTCTTACTCGCCTCTGGCACTGATAGCCCTGCCCAGCAGGTCCACTTCTTCTGGGGCCAAAGGAGCAGCTTCATTCTGCAGCTGCATTCTGGTCTGCATTTTGCAGTCAGGCCTTTCTGGAAGGCCTATGCAGCCGAGTACCAAGCTATGGATTCAATTCATAGCTCGGTCCTTGGCTGCAGAGGTCTTGCAGAACTTAACTATGGATTGAATCCATAGCTTGGTTCTCAGCTGCACAGGCCTTCCGGAAAGGCCCGTGACTAAGAAATGCAGGCCTGGCTGCAGAAGACGCTGCAGAAGAAGTGGGCTGTTGAGGAGAGGCCTGGCTGGAAGTTAAATGGTGCGGGCACATGGGGCAGATACACACCCCTACTGCTGCCCTAGCTTGATTTTTAAGTGTGTGCCTCACCCCAAAACTAGGGCTTATTTTTGGGGTAGGACTTATATTAGGCCCATCCCCAAAAAAATCAAGCTAGGGCTTATTTTCAGGGGAAACATGGTAGCTAAGTATAGTACTGGACAATTTAGGTATATTTTGAGCAGTAAGCTCCAAGTGTCATCAAAGCTCAGTTTTACTCCAAACTTGCTCACACTATTCTAGCAATCTTGATTAGAGAGATTATGTTGCAAGACAACATACTGTTGCCTATATCCCAACAACAAAGAAGTACAAGCAGTGCATTTATATGCTCAGGATATTACTTGAAATCTTTTAAAATTCTAGATGTTTATAGTCAAATGAAAAATAGTGAAAAAGCAGTAATATACAATAGTACAATATACTTTTCCATCAGTTCTGAAAATGGAAAAATATACTTCAAACTATAGTTATAAAGGACCTGTATGCCTAAACTTGTTGTGGGGTCAATGAATTAACCAAATCCCCAAGGTCACATGGTTCCTTTAGAAACTTCACATGATGGTGCTAAACCTCCATAGCACAGAATCTATGGTCAAGGATCTTGATTTTCCACAGCTGTTAATTTTACTGACAGCCTGCATAGACAAAATAGCTTTGTACTAAAGAATTTCATGTCTATTAAATGAAAAGTCAAAATGGAGCACGAGATCTTGCAGGAAACAATAAATGAACGGGTTAGCAGCCAAGCACATAAGAGGTCTATGCAACAAAACATGTAACCCTTGCCAAAGGGTTGTCTGTAAAGTAAGAATGTTAGCGTTATTCTATAGAGCTTATGAAATTACTGGTATGGTTTATGCTCTGACAAGACCTCTACAATGCATACATGAAATTCTTTGAAAGTAATATCTATTTTTCATTCTGAAACCTTTTACTTGTGTGATATGTATTGAATATTGTTTTTATTTACATGCAGTGATTATTAGTTTTATTAATTCCATATGCAAAAACATTAATATAGATTAGAATTCTGACTTCATGCATACTGTAAAATGTATTGAAAGTGATTTCAAGGGAAACATGGTGAATTGAAGATGGCACAAGCATGGCAGAAAGAAGAGGTGGTGAATGTATCAGCTCTCCCAACTGCTCTCCAGATGAGGAGAGGATTTGGGATCACCCATAGTGCTTCACACAGATGCTCCTCACAATGAGACCATAAAAGAAAGGTTTCTAGCAGGTTTTAGAACTCTAGGAACTGGAATTTTGAACTTTGCCCAAGCCGCCATTCAGAGCCTTCAAAGAAACACTGGGTTCACCCACTTCCTTTCTTAATCACTTACATGGAAATAGGTTGTAAATTGGATATTCAGAAACATTAGAAGGAAAAGTTTTATCAGACTGGATGATTTTCCTTCAATTCCCAGAAAAGGTTTTTGTTCAATCCTCAGCAATAGAAGCTCCTGTAAATTTAAGAGCTATTTTTTATTTAGAAATTAGCAGCAAAGGGGTGATTAGAATGTTGATTTTGGAATATTTAAATGGACTAAAGGGCCAGATTGACCAGAAATAAGATTTTGTAATAATTATAAGACTACTTCCTGTGATTTGTTTAAAATCATATTAAAGATACAAGAAGATAAGTGTATTGGTAACAATACACTCAAAGCTTTATTTTTAGATTATCCATTACTATAAAATGGGTTCAAAAGAGGAGATAGAAGATACAGGCTCTTTTGGATATGGATTTAAAATTGACAGGATACAAGAATGATATTGACAAAGATGTTACACGAGATTTACAAATAAAACTACTGCATGTTTTAATAGGTAAAAGGGGCATACAAATAATGACTTGGATTTCTACTCAGAAAAGTGATTTTTTTTTATTTTGCACGTACAAAAAAGATGTGATATACCTATGAAAGAATTCCTGAGAAAAGATAGAGTGAATGAAAAGAAATCACCTTCTGGGACATTACTTAAAAGGAATAAACATCAGAACTTTTAAAAGGAAAAGGATTTATAACGTTCTCTTATTCAACCAAAGTTAAAGTGGATATGTTTTTTTTCTTAGCAACTTTTAGTGGGTTTTTCT